TAATTTGACAATAAACTATTTGTAAAAAAAAAAAAATAAAATAAAAAAAATATATATAAAATAGAAAAAAAAAAAAAAGAAAATTCAAAAAAAAAATAAATAAAAACAGGGAGGGGGACAAAACATAGAGACTGTTAAATATAGAGAACTGACAGAGGGTTGCTGGAGGAGTTGAGGGAGGGGGGATGGGCTAAATGGGTAAGGGGCATTAAGGAATCTACTCCTGCAATCATTGTTGCACTATATGCTAACTATCCTGAATGTAAATTAAAAAATAAATTATTAAAATAAATAAATAAATAAATAAAATAGGCCTATCATATGATCCAGCAATAGTACTACTGGTATTTACTCAAAGAATATAAAAACCATAATTCAAATGAATACATGCACCCCTATGGTTATAGCAGCATTATTTACCATAGTTAATACATGGAAACAGCTTGTGTCCATCACTGAATATATACTAGGAATATTATTCAGACATAAAAAGTATGAAATATTGCCATTTCCAATGACATGGATGTAGCTAATGAGTAAAATGCTAAGCAAAATAAGTCAGTGAGAGAAAATACCATTATTATTTCACTCATATGTGGAATTTAAGAAACAATGAGAAAAGGGAAAAAATAGACAAACCAAGGAACAGTCTTTTTTTTTTTAATGTTTATTTATTATTTTGAGAGAGACAGACAGAGCATGAGCGGGGGAGGGGCAGAGAGAGAGGGAGACACAGAATCTGAAACAGGCTCCAGGCTCTGAGCTGTCAGCACAGACCCTGATGTGGGGCTCGAACTCCCAGACCAAGAGATCATGACCTGAGCTGAAGTTAGACGCTTTAACTGACTGAGCCACCCAGGCGCCCCTGCCAAGAAACAGAATCTTAACTATAGAGAACTGATTGATGGTTGGTTACCAAAGGAGAGGTGGGTGGGAGGATGGGTTAAATAGGTGATAGGGATTAAGGAGTGCCCTTGTCATGATGAGGACCCAGTGATGTACATACAGAATTGCTGAATCGCTATATTGTACACCTGAAACTAATATAATAGTGTATATTAACAAACTGGAAAATAAAAACTTGAAAAAAATAGTATTCTCACTTAGTAAGAGACACTTAAAATATTACTTCCCAATATTCTCTCCTGATTTTCAAAAATATGTCCCCAAATGTCATGACCAGTCATTGTGATTTTTTTCATTCAAAATTATAGTTTTCTATTTTACTACATTGAATATTATCTAAGAAGAGTGCTGTCTATCTTCCATTTTGCTATGCTAAATATTACCTTTTATTTTAGTTTATTTTGAGAGAGAGAATGTATGCATATGAGCAGGGGAGGGGCAGAGAGAGAGGGAGAGAAAGAATCCAAGTAGGCTCCAGGCTGTCAGCACAGAGCCCTGCATTGGGCTGAATCTCACAAATCATGATATCATGACCTGAGGTGAAATCAAAGAGTCGGAGGTTTAACTGACTGAGCCACCCAGGTGCCCTACACTGAATATTATCTAAGAAGAGTTAGAAGAACACTGGAGTAGAATTAAATTATCCTGGGTTTTATACCTGGGCTCTACCACTATGTGTCTATGTGTGGCCTTTTTCAAGCCATGTGACCTTAAACGAATGAATCTCTTTTAGCTATACTGAGGATTCTGTAAAAGCTGCAACTAGTACTATCTGCTCTATTCTAGCACAGGACTGTTGTTAAGACACAAGTCATTAATGTAGGATGTTATTATCATAATCATCATCATAAAACTGAAAGTTATATTTTAAAAAAGGGAAACCATCATATCAATTTGACTTTTAGCAACCAATGTCAGTCATATGTTGGTTTCTTTTGAATACATGTAAATTAAGAAGCCATTAACTCAGTTTATCCTAAATAAATACTTTTCATACCTGGCATAACAAAACACTTCCACATGTTGAATGGTTTTGTCCTTCCTGCTAAGAGCAATAACTTCTTCATTTTCAAGAATCTGTTCTTGCCATGCTGGACTTTCATTCACAATGTCACTGTTTTCCTAAACAAAATACAGATGAGAAATTATAATTAAACTGAGCAATGTGAACCTTTACTTTTCTGTAAAACCGTATATCTTTCTAAATTAATGCTTTCCCTTTGATCCCATCGAAAATCTGAAGTGACTCTTAGCATAGTGTACCATGTTCAAAAATCTATGTGTAAAAATCTATTCTATCAAAAGCTAGCTCGTGTTTATAGATTTCTATAAAGATATCTGACATTTTGATGCAGTCATTGGACATTGGATGTGCCTGTTTTGACATTGTTTAAGAACTAGAACAACTAAACTTCTGGTGAAAATCAAGTGTGTCTGTTGTACATATTACTTTAATAATAAAGTTTCTGCATTTTATTGTCCAACCAGCAGGCTCACAATTACTTCATTCTACTTACTTTTAGGTCTTTGAAGGTTAGTCACCAGTCATGTCAAATTTTGATTATAATGCAAAAGTATTATTGAAAAGTATTCAGCCCACTATAACTAAAAGCTGTATAATAAATGACCTCTAAATATTTTATATTTTTAAATTTTTTTTAATGTTTCTTCATTTTTAGAGAGAGAGAGAAAGACAGCATGGGTGGGGGAGGGGCAGAGAGAGAGGGAGACAAAGAATCTAAAGCAGGCTCTAGGCTCTGAGCTATAAGCACAGAGCCTGATACGTGGCTCAAACCCATGAAATGTGAGATTGTGACCTGAGCCAGAATCGGAGCCTTAATCGACTGAGCAACCCAGGCCCCTCATCGACCTCTAAAGAGAAGCAATAATGTAAAATAATGTATATAAACTGTAAGGGTTGAAAGTGGCCCTACAAATTTTCAATAATTCCTAATTACATTTTATGGACCTAAATTATATGTACAACAATTTGAATATAGGAGATATTTGAAAATGTCAAGATATGCCTTTTCAAAATGTCAAGAATCAATTTTTTATCTGTTAAAAATTTTAAACTATTTGGTACACATCTGACAGAGAAAAAAAAATTCAATGTCTTATGTATTCTCAAAGCACCAGTAGTGAAATATAACTACAATATCCTTGAAGTAAATTCACATTAGAAAATTTCTAAACTTAATAGATCTCATAAAGTGGGATAATAATTTTATTAAAAGAATTTTTTGTCCTGAATTTAACATTTTAAACTGAAGAAAAGTAGGGCAGACATCGTTTATTATTAAGTGTAACTACTAGTGTTCAAAATCTCAATATAGGTAAAGAAAAGGTAAAATATAGGAACTCTGAATGTATAGACATAGGGGTTACCAGACTGAAAAAAGGACTTTGGGCCAGGGGACAAAGAGTGAAGGAGAGAAGTATATGGTGAGAGAGTCAAGATACTGAGCACCAAAATAAAAGAAACATCTACAAAAATATTTTTACTTTAACGAATCTAACCTATTATCAAAATTCATTTTATAAAATTCCCTTCATTCACCAGATGTTTTCCAGTCAGACAATGGAGGTATTTTTGTTGTCTTTGTTGTGAACATCTAAATTTTTTCATGGAAGTACTAAACGTGCTAAATATACTAAATAAGATGACCCACATTTGTACATACTTCCTAAGAATAAGGTTCAAAATAGGGTTTCTGATCAACACAAATATATGAATATTTAGGGCACAAACATAAAACAATTAAATGTCTACTTGTAACATTTATTTTCTTGATTTATATAGTTTGTATTACATGCAATATTACTTTACAAATATTGGTTGTTTCTCCACACTCTTATTTCATGCAACAATATTATTCAAACGGAATCTTCACTGCAACTTCAACATCAATGTCTTTGTCATTACCAGAAGCCCTTTTTAAGTCATGTATCATAAATTAATCAGTACAACTACAATGCTTAGTGTGGTGCTTGGCACATGTTAAGTGTTTAATAAGTCTTTGCTATGCTATTTTTAGCTAACTGAATACAATTTTCTAGGATATATCATCCTCCTTTCCCAACTGTCTAAATTATTTTGAGATACAGCAGTTTCTGATACCATGTATGATGGAATTCCTCTCAGTAGGAAATTCATTTCAAGCCCCATGTACAATTCACATAAAATTAGGATAGTATTTTTAATCTGGCATAAAAATCAGTAAACTCCATGACATAGCCAACTCCCATATTACTATGCTGTAAACGTCCTCTAAAAAAACTCCTTTACATGGGCGCCTCAGTGGCTCAGTTGGTTGAGCATCCAACTTTGGCTCAGTTCATGATCTCACAGTTTGTGGGTTCAAGCCCCACATCAGGCTCTGTGCTGAATGCTTGCTCTGAGCCTGGAGACTGTTTCGGATTCTGTGTCTCCTTCTCTCTCTGTCCCTCCCCCACTCACGCTCTGTCTTACTGTCTCTCAAAAATAAATAAATGTAAAAAATTTTTTAAAAAACTCCTTTACAATGATATCCAACAGTTGTAGTAGCAAGATCCTACCTTTGAATAAAAATTACTAAATTCACATTAAATTTCTTTCCTTGTTTTTTTTATTGATTCTGTCAGATGACTTCTATAAATATGTAAAACCACCAATGACTCAGATCATTTAAAATTAATGTAGCTTCCCCAAAAAGTTGGGGTCTTTTTTCAAAATATACTAACCAAAAGAACAACTAGTAATATGTGAGACTTTATGAATGACTGAAATTTTTTCCTGAAAGACTATTTGGGTATATAATTAGAAAATGGTATCAAGTATATATGATGTACTCTTCTGCCAACTTATCTATGTATGTATATTTAAAAAGTGACAACTATATTTTGAAGGCATTGAAAGAATATTAGCTAAAAAGATGACTATAATTTTTGTTACATAAAAGTGTGGCATCAGCCTATATTACAGGAACTTAGGATTTTCTTCAATTTAGGGTTATTATGTGATACAAAATACAACCTAGTAGATTAAAAATCAACTAAGAAGTTTACCTGGTATTCCTTTAGCCAGGATAATAGTCCTGAAAAGCTAAAACTGGCCCAGTTTCCTCCATAGTAACTTCTTCTGTAACAATAAAACATAAAAGAAAAGGGTATAAAAATCAAGTCATTGATCTCCATCAGCAAACCACCCTGGACCCTTCAAATCATTTTAATATTGCTACCTCAGAATTCAGAACATAATTGGGATGTTTGAAATACCAGACTGAAATAAAAGTGGGCCTCTCAGATCCAAAAGGTAACTTTTTATTGTATAAGGAGTTAAAAAATCTCTTTGGCCTCCTTAGAGCTTTCTCCATCGATCAAATGCTACTGATCAGGGACCATGAACAACTTAATATGGGCATTGAGCAGGAAACATGAACAAATTTGACTCCGTGGTTTAAAAAAAAAGTGGCTAGTTGAAAACCTTGGTAGATCACAAGGAAAGACAGTGAAAAAAACTGCTCTAAGTTTTCTATAAACAAATATCCACTGTCACCACCACCACCACCAAACACATAACACATGCCAACACACACACACAAACTGGCTACTCTAGACTTAGTGGTCCTGTGTTTTTCTCAGCCTTCAGGGCCAAAAATGAAAGTAGATCCTGGACACAGTTATTCATATCAAGACTTCTGTGATAAGTAGAGAACAGTATTCCCACTGATAACTGGGTGAACTATTAATTTTTCATTCCACAGTCCTATGAAGATCATCATTCTGTTTGAGAGAACTCAGAAATCTTCTAATTAAAATCAGGTAAACCTTGCAGACTTTGGACTTTTGATTAACTTCCTTGAGTAGGAAGGAACCAATAGGAAGGAAGGTTACCAGGGTAGCATCCAGAACTCTTTAATTCTGTGCTACATAGTAGGCTTCTCAGTTCCTGAAAAACTCTTCATGTTTACTGATTCTTTGTATGATGAGACCCAAAGTACACTTAGTCCCACCAACAATATCTACTCTGGTTCTGGGGTGGGACACAGTCTTGGTTTTGTTTTGTCTTTGATTTCAATTTTGCTTCTCTGTAGCTTTCTCTAATAAAATAAAAACTTATAAAAGCTCTTTTTAATATGAAACAAAAACTAAAACCTTTAATATCCAAAATTACTCATCCATTATGCTACTAGAGATCCCTTCAACATTCTGACATATTTTCTCCTTAACCAAATGTTGACACAGGCCTTCAGAACAGTCACAAGTATTTTACCAATAATCACTATCTTTGCTCTAACATAGAAAATGGTTAAATCAAACATCTGTGAAAGTAGATCTATTAATAAGGATCAGTACATTACTTATAATCTGATAGTTCTCTCAGAGATAATGCAAATTCATACACCATCCAGAATCTCTAGAGGGACTTGGAGTGCCTGGGTGGCTTAGTCAGTTAAGCGTCTGACTTCTGTTCAGCTCATGATCTCATGGTCTGTGAGTTTGAGCCCTGCATCAGGCTGTGTGCTAACAACTCGGAGCCTGGAGCCTGCTTCAGATTCTGTGTCTTCCTCTCTCTCTGCCCCTCCCCTACTCACACTCTCTCTCTGTCAAAAATAAATAAACATTAAAAAATTAAAAAAAAAATAATCTCTGGTTGCCTTTAAAATTTATATAGAATTTCAGCTATATTAATAATTCTAGATGGCCACTGTTATTAACATATTGGAATCAGGAAGCCTGGAAGCTATAATCCCTTAGGTCAGAGAGAACAGCAGGAGAAGGTGAGCAACAGCCAGTATAGAGAAGAGGAGAGAGTGAAGAGAGAGGGAGTGTTAGAATTAGTCATCTTTCCAATAGAAACTTATACCCTCTTTTCCCTTGTCTAAGAATAATACACTTCCACCATCCCTTCCCATCCTCTATATATAACACTCAATAAAACTAGAAAATATCCTGGATGTTAAAAAAAAAAACACTGTCTATATTTTTTGTTGAGATATTTAGATTTCTCTTAAGCCACCAAAAGGTCATGAATAAGAAGTTCCAGGGCACTTGAGTGGTTCAGCTGGTTGACTGTCTGACTCTTGATTACGGCTCAGGTCATGATCTCATGATTCATGAGATTGAGCCCCACATCCAGCTCTGCACTGACAGTGTGGAGTGTGGGATTCTCTCTCCCCCTCTTTCCATCCCTCCCCAACTTGTGTTCTCTCTCTCTCCCTCTCTCTCTCTCTCTGTTCTTCTATTTTAAAATAGAACATTTTTTAAAAATGAATGGGTTAGGCACAAACTAGTCGAAAATATTCCTAAAACATATCTGACAAAGGACTTGTATCCAGGATATATAAAGATCTCTTTCAATTTAATAATATGACAAATATTCAAATTTTAAAATGGGCAAAGGGTTTGAACAGACATTTCACAAAGGAATAGATATGGTTCATGAGCACATAAAAAGGTACTCAACATTATTAGTCATTAAATAAGTACACATTAGTCTACAGCCATACTACCCTGAATGTGCCCAATTTGGTGTGATCTCAGAAGCTAAGCAGGGTCAGGCCAGGTTAGTACTTGGATGGGAGATAAGTACACATTAAAATAAGAGTTAAAAATGAACATAATGGGATACCACTACACATCCACCAGAACAGTTAAAATTAAAAAGACTAGGGGCACCTGGGTGGCTCAGTCGGTTAAGTGTCCGACTTCAGCTCAGGTCATCATCTCGCAGTTCGTGGGTTCAAGCCCCGCATTGGGCTCTGTGCTGACCGCTCAGAGGCTGGAGCCTGCTTCAGATTCTGTGTCTCCCTCTCTCTCTGCCCCTCCTCCACTCATCCTCTGTCTCTCTCTGTCTCAAAAATAAACTATAAAAAAAAAATTAAAAAGACTAACAATACCAAATATTGGTGTATTCACCAATGAGCCAGAATAGTCATACATTTTGATGGGAGTGTAAAATGGTACAAACACTTTGGAAAACTGCTTGGCAGTCTCTGAAAAAACTAAACGTATATCTACACTATGACCCAGTAATTCCATTCCTAGGTATTTACAAACCAGAAAAGTATGTGTTCACAAAATACTTGTATAAGCTTTTTCACAGTAGCTTTATTACTCAATAGCTCCAAACTGGTGGGAATTCAAATACCCATCAGTAGGAGAATGGATAAATTGATACTATTCACCAATCAAAATGAATAAACTAGTGGTAACAACACAGATGAATCTCAAAAGGTTATGCTGCCTGAAAAAACCTTTTACCCAAATAGAGTACATTCTTCATGATTCCAATGTTATGACATTCTAGAACACGTTAATCTATAGTAAAAAATATACCAAGAGAGATTGCCTTTGAGGGTGGGGGTAAGGGCAGGACTTGACTTGGATGGGGCATGAGAGAACTTTCTAGAGTAATGACATTATTTATCTCAATTAGGATTGTAGTTACACAAGTGCATACATTTCCCGTTATTAAATGGTACACGTAAGATCTGTGCATTTCACTGGATGTAATTTTATCCTGAAAAAAGAACCATAAATACATACTGAACTCTAGTTAATAAATGCATGCTGAAGTGTACCAGAGTGAAGGTACTGGATTGTGTACAGTCTACTTTGAAACATACAAAAGAATTAAGATGAAATAATAGAAAGAAATATGAATACATGTGTGGTTATGTAATAAAGCAAATACAGCAAAATTATAATGGCAGGATCTAACTGGGGATAACGTGCTCACAGTACAATTTTTCAACTTTTCTACATCTCAAAACTATAATAAATTATTAGAAAAACAAAAGTAACCTAACATGAGTTTTCAAACACTGACCATGATGTTCCAATCTCAAAAGTATTTTATGCTATTATCAAAAACCTAAAACAAATCTCTAAGAAAAGCCATCTTGCTGTTTCTTTCTAGTATTAAACAGCTTAAAGTCAGTTCATGGTCAAAATCTTTCTTCTCCCCTATACGTGGTCATGTTTTTTGAGAGCTAACTGGTTCCAGTATTTTTCCATGCAGCTCACATTTTCAGCTTTTCTGTTGATGTGCTCTTAACAATAGCATCTGGTGATCTCACACAATGAATATAAAAGGTGAAACATGGTTTTCATTACTGTGGCCTTTCTGACAAAAGAGGATAACATAACTATTAATAAACTCACTATAAAACCAGCACTGGAGTGTCTAGATGGCTCAGTCAGTTAAGTGTCCCAACTCTTGATCTCACGTCAGGTCTTGATCTCAGAGTCATGAGTTCAAGACCTCAAGACCCACACTGAGCCCCACACAGGGCATACAGCCTACTTTAAAAACAAACAAAAACAAAAAACAGATTTTTTACTAAGTTCATTTTGGTATATGCATGGTTCTTTTTATTTTTATTTTTTTTATTTTGAGAGAGAAAAAGAGTGCAACTAGGGGAAGGGCAGAGAGAGAGGAGACAGAGAATCCCAAGCAGGCTCTGCACTGTCAGTGCAGAACCAAATACGGGCTCAATTTCACAAACCATGAGATCATGACCTGAACCAAAATCAAGAGTTGGATGCTTAACCAACTAAGCCACCCAGGCACCCCTGTATATGTACGGTTCTAAGTATGGTTTATAATATTCCCTAAAGAAAAAGCAAAAGACTTTAAGTATCAAACTCAATATGACAAAATGAAAAAAATCAATATAACATTCTAACATGCTCTCTAGAATATTATTGTAATGAAATAGTAAAAACTAAAGTCCACCAAATATTTTCTTAAATTTTATCTTTAAAAATACAGCTTCAGAACTCTGACATTCAAATTCAGTTTATAAAATACTATTTCCACTCTCTTTAAAAGTGTTTCTGCAGGTAATAACAAAGCTAGGTTACTGGTTTTCTTTTTAAAACTCCATAGATACAATTTATTTTAAGGACAAAGTGAGAACTTCCTGAAAGGAAACAGTGAGAAAAAAAGGGACTGGAGCATTTTCTGCAAATTTTGTGTCACAACTGCCTCTGTACATCAAATAAAGGAAAAAGTAGTTTATGATGAAGGATGATGCTTATCTCTAATTCCAGTAATACGATTTTATAAGATGAAAAGACTTCCTTAAAACTAGAGTCTCTTTGTGGAACTAGAAAGAATATTCATAGTATTTA